AATAATAATAATAATAATTTATATTTTAATTAAAATAATTCCAGATGTACCAAATGTTGCAAAGTAGCAAATTGTGGACTAGAAACTTAATATGGGCTAGGACCAAGTCTATTCTATTTACTACTGTATCCACAGTGCTTAACACAATATATGAGGCACCGTAGGTGCTTCATGAATAGTTTATCCAGTAAATTGATGTGGTGAATCAAAACTTGGAACCATTATGAAGGAATTCTGTTGTCTTTATCAGTATGACTCAAAACAGGTTTCCATATGGCAGAATCCAAATGTTAAGGGCACTGACAGACACTGATATCCCTTCTGAGTCCCTAATAATGAAGACGTTTCACTCAGGTTACAGACTGACTCCAAACTACAGTGGTCAGCCTCGAGGTATGGCATTTCTGGGAGTAAAAGGAGTGTGAGTACTATGTGAACAGGCATCTTCCCTGGCAAATATTAATCCCTGTCCTTCCGAGCCTTCACATCGCCCCTTTAAGAGTGACATAAAACCATTACAATGCAAGCGGTGAGAAAGAAAGATGGTCCTTTAACCATGGTAGATGACACAGGTATGATTCCTTTGGCAGAAATGAGATTCTGCCTTCTGTGATGGCTTCTGTGTAATTCAGTGATGCCTCAAAGAAACTTTAAGTATCTGAATTCCATTAGTTACATGGTCTAGCCAACTCTGAAGCCCCTTAGCACAGTTTCCGGCAAACAGAAGGCACTCAACCAAAATGTCAAAACATCACACATACACACCTAGTTCTGGGTGCAGGGAATCAGAAAACCTTTTAATTCTAGATATGTTGATGATAAACGCCTCTCACTGAAATCATGTTTCAAATGGGCCAAGAAACTCCAGCTCTGTGTTCCGAAATCAATATTACTTACCTTATTTCTCAAATATTTAGAGGAACTTTTCATATCTGCATTCAAATGCGAAACATGGATGAATTTTCCAACTCCAGCTTCCTTGGACACTTGAGCAATTGCTTGAGGAATCTTCACGTAAACATCTGCAAAATCAAAGTGTCTGGAAGAAAAAAAATAGAAGGATTGGTTAAGAACTCCAGACACAGGATCTCAAAGCCGGTTTTCATAACAGTACTGAAATTCATACTACTTAAACTTTTAAACAGCAATAATTTAACTTAAAGCTAAAATTGGCCAGGTGTAGTGACTCATGCCTCTAATCCCAGCACTTTGGGAGGCCAGGGCGGGTGAATCACTAGTGCCCAGGAGTTCAAGATGAGCCTGGGCAACATGGTAAAACCCTGTCTCTATTTCTAAAAAAATATTAAAAAAAAAAAAAAGTGTTTAAGCCACAATTTTTTTTTTCTTTTTTTGAGAAAGAGTTTCACTGTTGTTACCCAGGCTGGGGTGCAATGGCGCAATCTCGGCTCACCACAACCTCCGCCTCCTGGGTTCAGGCAATTCTCCTGCCTCAGCCTCCTGAGTAGCTGGGATTACAGGCATGCGCCACCATGCCCAGCTAATGTTTTGTATTTTTAGTAGCGACGGGGTTTCACCATGTTGACCAGGATGGTCTCGATCTCTTGACCTCGTGATCCACACGCCTCGGCCTCCCAAAGTGCTGGGATTACAGGCTTGAGCCACCGCGCCCGGCCCTAAGCCACAATTAAAAAAAAAAAAAAAGTTTACAGGTCTGCTCACTGTCATTACACAATTTAAGGCCTACTCTAAGTTATAATAAATCCAGTAGACATCATATTCTGCACTATCAAGGAACCCTGACACTGAGGCCTTTTAAAGAAACCTGGCTATATTGGTTGCTGGGGAGGAGGGAAGGGTTGGGAATCACTTTGTACCCCTGGGACTTTGTTTCCCTCAAGGGAAAAAGAAGAAACCGAAAATAGCCAGTGAACAATTTCATTCAGTAACCTTAACTAAATGTTTACTCTGTACCATACACTATGTTAATCACCAGGGGGGATAAAAAGCTGAATAAGACCTCCAAGTCAACAAAGAATTTATAAAATATTTGATAAGAAAGACGTATATTAAAAACTAAGTCAAACTTTAATTAATGCTAAAAAATGAGCTGTAAACAAAGTGTTGTGGACTATAGGATTAAAACATTATTTGCTAATCATCAACCCACACAAAGAACTGTTCAAATTAGTCCTCATGCCATCTCCAATTAACAATGCAGAAAAGACGTCTAGCACACTGTCTACATAAGAAAAAGCAATGTTCGCAGGGCTGAGTGGCCTTAGACATTTGCTTCTCCTGTTGATCTGTGGGGCTGAGGTCTGGAGAGGGTGAAAGATGATGCAGGAGCTGGAGGGGTGAATGGCTGGGGGCTATTCAAGGCCAGTAGGATGAGATCCAGATTGTGTCTGGAAGCATTTTAGGGGTCCTGAGGATGGAGTAAGGGATGAGGGACCACCAGAGAATCCTGAAGGAGCAAGGCAGGCAGAGAGTGATCAGGGAGAAGTAAGATCGTGGAACGATCATTTATATCCCATGCACGTGTCAGATGCTCTCTGCACTCACTCAGGTCTCACAGTTCTGAGCTATGAATCCATAGTCACCAATACCTAGAAAGGTCCATTTTACAAAGTGGGGAACTGATGTTGCGAGAGAGGAAGAGTCTTTCCCACAGTGCGGCTGAGTGGTAGAGCCAGGTCTTGCTTATGTTTGCAGCCTGTCTGCCTCCTCTTGTGTTATTCCGCTTAGTCACACATAGTATCAGCCGCTTCCGACCAGATTGGTAATAATCTGGGGTGGAGAAAATAACTGAGGCATTTGCCCATGTCCTTTGGGTATCTGTTGGGCTGGGGCTCAGGTGTGGCGGTTGTGTGAGGCTGGGCCCAGATGGAGAGCTGACCGCGTAGGCTATCCGCGTCCCTCTGGAGAGTTCCGCTTCCTGTCCCGTGGCCTTTACCCCAGTGGCAGACAGGCCAGCACATGCTAGGGGGCTGGTTCTTGAGTATCTCACTCTACTGAGAAATTAGGTGCTGACAACATATCCCTGCTGAGAACTAGTCAGAGGCCCCAGGAAAAAGGGCTGGGCTGAAGGGTGGTCCTCACCCTACAGCAGGGAACAGGGAACAGGGGTACAAATCAGTTCACGTGCCTGAAGGCCAGGACCTGAACAGGGGAGTCCCTGAAACACTGGACTGACTCACCTGGACTGAGGTCAGGGCAGCCTTGCCCTGCTCCAGTCACACTCAGGACTGCACCTGCGTGTGTGGGCACTGGAACTGAAATCCAGATTGAGGGGCTGGGCCTGAGATTTTGTGGCTAGAAGGGGCCCACATAACTCAGGTCCAGGGAGGTGAGTGACCTGCCTAAGACTGCAAGGCTGTTAGTGGCAAAGCTAAGGACTGAGGCTCCTCCAACTCCAGGTTACCTTGCTGCCTTCTCAGGAGAGTGAAAAAAACTACTCCTTTCCCAGAGGAAGCAGACATGTACCTAACTGGACAAGGCAAGACTCACTTAAAGATGAGGGCTGTGAAGCCAGGCACAGCAGCTCACGCCTGTAATCCCAGCACTTTGGGAGGGCGAGGCAGGTGGATCACTTGAGTCCAGACGTTCGAGACCAGCCTGGCCAACAGGGTGAAACCCCATCTCTACTAAAAATACAAAAATTAGCTAGACGTGGTGGTGCACGCCTATATGCTTCTCGGGAGGCTGAGGTAGGAGAATCACTTGAACTGGGGAGGTGGAGGTTACAGTGAGCTGAGATCACACCACTGCCTGGGCAACAGAGCAACACTCCATCTCAAAAAAACAAAAACAAAAAACGATAAGGGCTGTGGCTGCTGAGTTCCATCATCCACAGTTCAGAACCCAGGTGGTCGGGAATAACCCACACCTGTTTGACTTCTGGGATTCCTGGGTTCTCTCACCACTGGGTTCCCTTGACCCGGCCATACATCTTCACCAGCCTATGTAATGAGATGCAGTAACTGCACTGGGCTAAGACACCAGTGCCTGGTTGTTGGCTCAACTGCATCTCTCTGCTTGTTGACCCACTGGACAAAACCTCCTCCTCCTCTTCAAGCTACTCGTCCATGAGAGACAGGGGAGGAGCCTCCCTTCCCTGAGAGGACTGAGAGCCTAGGTGTGTCTTTGTGTCCTTACCAACTGAAAACTCAAGATTTTTATAAAGAGAAAACCATTATCAGACTCTCCTACACATTTGTCATCATTAAGTTCCCAAGAGGAACAGAGTGACCCATTTGGCTGGGCAAAGCAAGAGTGAACATCTTGAGAAATGTGAGCTCCTCATACCCTTCCAGTGCTGCTCAGGTTCCAGGTTAGTGTTCTCCTCTAGCCTCCTTCCCTGGGCTCAAATTCTCAACTGCTGTGGGTGAAGAGTTTGTGGAACACTGCTGACCAGAGTTCCTCCCCTCTGAAGGCCTGTGTAGGGTTATCTGAAGGTGTTTCCACCCACAGTGCAGGAAAGAAACTCTGTGGAAGGCGCAAGGGGCAGCAAGCCCTATAGGCACCCGTGAGAGATGCCCGACACATCCCTGAAGAGCAAAGTTACAGCAGGATGTGAGGGGAGAGCCAGCGAGGCAGGTGCTCATGTTCTCACGCCCCAGCCTAGCCCAGCCAAGTGCTGATGACCCGCACCTGCCAGTGCTGACGGTCCCACTATCCGTACCACGGAGATGTGGGCTTGAACGCTGAGGTATGAAGGCTACATGTGGAAATGAGGAAAAGTGAGAGGGTAACTTCAAAGGAGACAAGAGAGTTTAATTGAACAGGAAAAGATCAAAAGTACAGCCAGCATTCCACTTGGTCTTTTTTCCATTCTCCTTTATTCCATAAACACCTAGTTACAAGTTGCACAAATCAAAAAATAAGGGTGTAGGGAAGAGTCTTGTGATGTATGTGGGCAGGAGGAGGGTGAAAGAGTTGGGAACCAGTCTGCTCCTTTCACAGCCCTGGACAGGGCTACAGCCCCTCAATGGGGGCTCTGAGGAAGAGGTGGGCAAAGATCCAGGGTAGCTGAGGGATGGAGGAGGCCCCTAAACCCAGAGCTCACCCCAAAAGACCCTTCAATGCATGGCAGGAATAGAATGCGAAAGCTGAGGGCGTTTGATTTGAAGACGGAGTGGCAGAATGAAAAATCGTTAGTAGATGCAGAGGCGGAGTCATCATGGTAAGGGGATTAAAGAAGGAAAGGAAAAAGTAGGGAAAGGGTGCAGTGAAAGGTTCTCCCTGAGACCCCCAGGGAGAGGTGGGGGCCGGCTTGCCTGATAATTTACTATTAAATTGGGGATGGGATTCAGAGAGGAAAAAGTTATTTCAGGGGATGATTTCTCAGCCTCTCAGCCTGTACCTGGAGGGGGAAAGAGAGAGGAACACAAGTCAAAAGGACAAAAAACTTACATAACGGCCAGGAGTTGGGGTTTAATCTCCGATTCCAGTGAGAACATTGTTCTCTTTCCAGCCAACTAAGACTTGTACTGTCAAACGCAGCTCCTATGGGAGCCCGGACTGCGCCTGCCTCCTGGCAGAGGACCATCTGCAGGTGCACCCCCGCCCTCCTCACCCTGTTACTTACAAGAGAGGCTGAGGGCCCAGGGCCCTCACCAGTCATAGCGGCGGGACTGTCGAGAAGGGGAGTCCTCAGGTCCCTGGATGGCCAGGCGGGGAGGTCCCTCTGCCCTTCGTCCCCCCGCCCCTGAGGACTCAAGCCGCCGAAACTCCAGGGGGCGCTGCTGCCGGAATCGGGACGTCTCCCGCCGCCACTCGTCATCAAACGCTGCGGCCTCACCTGGAGAGGACAGAGTAGACATGAGGACTGCGTGCAGCCTCACTCCTGGAGGCCGATGCGCGAGCCAGCCACAGCTTCTCCGGCCACAGCCCCGAAGGCTGAGTGTGTGCGCAGGGATGTGGGGCGGCAATTCCATTAGCTCTTTCGGTTTCTAAACGGTCCCGGGAAGCCACTGGTAGGCCTAAGGTGGCCTACTGGAGGAAGAAATCAGAATGAGATTATTCTTCAGGTTCATAGTCCTAGGTGCACACTAGGTACTTAGTAACTGCGGATTTGAAAAAGAGAAAGAGAGGAGAAAGAAAAAAATGGATCCAAATGGAGAAGGGTGTAACACTACCAACACGGAACCTCGGGGACAAAGTCAGCCCCTCACAGTGAGGACACTGCCAGCACCTGACTCAGCCCCACCTACACAGCCCGAGCTGAGGAGGCTCCAAATGCGGTAAGAATATGGGGCTGACAGCTGGACGCGGTGGCTCATGCCTGTAATCCCAGGACTTTGGGAGGCCGAGGCAGGTGGATCACCTGAGGTCAGGAGTTTGAGACCAGCCTGGCCAACATAGTGAAACCCTGTCTCTACTAAAAATATAGAAATTAGCTGGGCGTGGTGGTACGCGCCTGTAATCCTAGCTACTTGGAAGGCTGAGGCAGAATTGCTTAAACCCAGGAGGCGGAGGTTGCACTGAGCTGAGATCATGCCATTGCACTCCAGTCTGGATACCTGGGCAACAAGAGTGAGACTCCGTCTCAAAAAAAAAAAAAAAAAAAGCAAAAGAATATGGGGCTGACCCAGAGCTTTGCCCAGAAGTTTATGGGGTAGGGAAGTCTCCTATTAGGGGATGCCAGCCGGGAAGCGGGAGGGAGGGCTCACTCTCATCCAGGTTGATATAGTCCTGCCGCTCCTCCTGGTCCCCTGTGCGCTGGTTTCGGGAGCGCTGGAGGATGTGAGCCCTGTCCCGGATGTGATGCCCGATGGACATCTGTTCCAGTCCGCTGTCTGAATCCCGAACAGTCCTCCGTGTCTCCCGGATCTGGGATGAGGCAGAACATGGCACACTCAGCCACCCCTTCCAAAGCCCTGGCTACACCATCTCAGGATAAACACACCACCCACAACCCAATCCGAAAAAAGCAGCCAGGGATTCTGCGGGTACCACTCAATCCCACATTCTCCGGGATAGGACGGCTCACCCCGCCTGGTGCCGAGCGCATCTCTGATGTCTCTTGGTAAACCTTGGGGGCACCATCGCCGGTATTGGAATAGGAGATGACAGTAGAAGATGAGAAGGTCTGCAATTGCCTCCAGCTGTCATGTGTTCCTAAGGACAGGGTAGGTAGGGGAGGGCTGAAAGGGGAGGCATCCCCCCTGGTGAAGGGTTTTCACCCTTCAGCTCCCTGTTCTAGCCTGTATCTTTCTCACAAAATGTAACAACTGAAAAAACATCAGGACTCATCGTTACCCTCCCAAATTCCTCTGAGTCCAATCACAAGCAAGAAGGACCAGAAGAGACAGAGACTTAATTGTATGCTACATAAAAGTGCTGCTGCTGCTTCAGGCAGGCATGACAGCAGATACAGGGTCCCAAGGCTCTCTGCTTCAATTACTTTACCCAGTACTGTACTCTTCACTAGCATACTGTCTCCCTCTTGCCTTAGAGGATTCAAGGTGTTGTCAGCCATCACCAAGGGCAAGGCCAGGGAAGGGTGTGGGGCAAGGCTCACCATGTTACCAATCATGTCGTTCATCATCCCAAACATGTCCATGAATCCACCCGACTGGAGGAAAGAGATGGAAAATAGAGTCAGGAAAGCAAAGTCAGTGTTCAGAGCTGATCCTGTTGAGGAACCCACAAGCCACATGGCTGCACATTTCCTTTCTCGTCTTCCTTCACATCTAGCAAGTAGTCTTTCTCATTCTCCCTTAACAGAACCAGAATATTCATGTTTCTCCTCCAGTAAACTGCTGACCCCTCCTCAGTCTCTATGACTGCTCTGATCCAATTTTCCTTCTCCTGCCTACTGTATTCCTCCATCTTTAGGAAGCAAGGCAAAGTTAATGGATTCTAAACTCTAAAGAGATAAGGCAAAGACCAGGTTTTGCTAGACAATTACATCTTCCTAATGAGTATGAACTTCTAGGAGTACAAGAGTTAATAACATCTTTTCTTTTTTCTTTTATTTTTTTTTTTGAGATGGAGTCTGGCTCTGTTGCCCAGGCTGGTGTGCAGTGGTGAAGTCTCAGCTCTCTGCAACCTCTGTCTCCTGGGTTCAAGCGATTCTCAGCCTCCAGTGTAGCTGGGACGACAGGCATGCACCACTATGCCTGGCTTTCTTGGTATTTTTAGTAGAGACGAGGTTTCACCATGTTGGCCAGTCTGGTCTCAAACTCCTGACCTCAAGTGATCACCCGTCTCGGCCTCCCAACAAGAGTTAGTAACACCTTTCGCCAGGTGCGGTGACTCACACTTGTAATCCCAGCACTCATGGCTATAATCCCAGCATTTTGGGAGGCTGAGGCGGGCAGATCACTTGAGGTCAGGAGTTCAAGACCAGCCTGGCCAATATGGTGAAACCCCGTCTCTACTAAATATACAAAAATTAGCTGGGCATGGTGGCTCGTGCCTGTAATCCCAGCTACTCAGGAGGCTGAGGCAGGAGAATCACTTGAACCCAGGAGGCGGAGGTTGCAGTGAGCTGAGATCGTGCCACTGCACTCCAGCCTGGTGACAGGGTTAAAGGGCTTTAACCCACAGGGCTCCTAGCACCCAAAAGGCTCAGAGCTTTGTGAACGTCACGAAAAGAAGATTCTGGGGTTACCCATGAAACTATTCGAAAGAGGCAAATTTGGGAATAATATCTAAGGGTAGAGAGTGTGTCTGAGATGGAAGGACAAAGGGAGATGAGGACTCACCATTCCCAGCATCCCAAAGGGAGAGACAGCTCCAGTCTACAGGAACACATGAGGAAAAGAAATTAGAGACTTCATCCTATCTCCTTACAATCCCAAACCAGGTCCATGGCCTCAATTTTTGTTTTCTGTCCTCTCGAAAGGGAGTCACAGAGCTCTTTTTCCTGACCCCTTCCCCCACTCCTAGAGCATTTCACTTGCTCAGTTGGCTGTAGGGCAAGAAAACTAAAGTGCTTTCCTAACCACCCTCCAACCTTTGGTTCTCAGGTGTGTCTCAGCACCGTTACCTGCTGCATCCTGCGGCTGGCAGGCCTGGTCCCTGGCATGTTGCCATCTGTGATGCTGAGGAAGGGGCTATATCCAAAGCCACCTGACAACATACGGCTCATATGCTGACGGTGAATAGCAAAGGGGTCCCTGTGAAGTGAGCACATAGTATGGATGGCAGAAGCACCAAGCTGTCAATCCCTCCACCACCCTGCAAAAAAATACGCACAGGGCAACAGTGACACCAATGCCTACTTCCTGCTAGGTGGTAGCGGGGTATCCAACCAGTTCCAACCATTCCCGGCAATGGGAACCCAGATGTCTGCCTGAACTGCTCGGAGATCTGGAGTGGGAGAGCTTGACGGGGAGGGAATACTCACATCAGGAACATGGGATCCTCAGGCTCCACATCCCTCATGAAGCGGAACATCCTGATCTCAGCTCCAGGGGGCTCCACACTGGAAAGGTGTGGAGGCTCAGATACTTGGAGGTGGCCAGGCTTTTGCACACCCGCTCAGCGTAAGGACTCTCAGGGCACTGGCCTTTCCCAAACCTTGTAATTGACCCCCTAAACTCCGGGGAGACCCTACTACAGGTGTTCCACACAACCCTCTAGGGAGAGAAGAGCTCTTCAAACCTCTCTCTCAATTAGGGCCATGGAAAATTTTTCCAAGCCTCTGGGTTTCTCCCTCCCCCACTCAGTCATCCTCTTCCCAAAGCTCTGGCCGGTTGCATACTCTCCCCTCCTCCTCCAACGTCACCGTTCTAGATGAGAATCCCAAGTGCCGGTCCTCCGTCCCATTAATGACCCCAGTCACCCGCCCCGTCCTTACACCCAGGCCTCCCCCAGGCAGGCCTCACTATGCCCCCTGCGCCCGTCTGCGGCTCCCCCAGCTCCCGCCTCCCTGCCAGGCGAGCAGGAGAGGTAGGCCTGAGCCTCTCCTCTCCCGGCCCCGCATCCCCGGCTTCCAGACCCTGCAGCCCCGCGGGCCCGCTCCCATTCCTGGCTGCTCGCTCAGTCTGAGCCTCACCAGTGCCCGATTTGGGCTCAGCGGCCCATCCGGCCGGTTTCGCTTCCCGGTGCGCTGCAGGGTCAGGGTCGCGGCCCGGGACGCGGGGATTGGTCCGAGCTCGAGCTCCGCGGCCTCCCGCGCCGCCTCCTCCCACAGCTGCCACCTCCGTACCCCCCCGCGGCCTACGGAGCAAGAACCTCGGCCAGGCCCGGGCGGAAGTGACGTCATCATGCAACCGCCCACCCGGGGCCGGGCCGTGGGAGCCCCGCCCACTAGCGTGGGTGGTGAGACGCCTGTGGCGGCGTCCCAGGGGTTAGGGGCCTGGGGCTAGGGGCCAAACTCAGGGGAGCGGCGCCTGAGGCCGGGCGGGGTTCCCTTTGCAGGAGTAAGGGGAGTTCATTAGTAACCCGGATTTGGGTTCTGTGGACTGGAAGAGGCTCGCATAAGGCTCGGGGGGAGGAGAAGAGAAATCCATTCTTCGGGAGGGACCGCGTTGGGGGTTGAGCTAAACTGGAGGACTAGGGCAGGGTCTCTGTGGGCGACCGGGCGGGGCGGATCCCTGGGGGAAGCTTTAAGCAGACTACTGGAGAAGCGTTCTACCCTAGAGGGAGGATGGGCAGCTTTCCTGCGGGTGAGGGGCTTGGGCCTGTCCCCCCTTGAGGAGGAGCGTTCCTGGCAGGGCGGAGTCCCCGGAGTGACGAAGAGGAGGAGGTGAAACTCTCCAGCCCGGATCTAGTTAGGGCTTCAGAAAATCCGATGGGGCAGAGAATCCAGGCTGCGGGATTGGCCGCCAGATGGCGCTCCCTGGCCAGGCTGGAACCCGAGGTCCTTGAGAACTGGCTTTGGAGAGGGACTTGGACCCTTCCCCTTTACCCATCTGTGAAGGGTTGGACCAAGAAAAAGGCTACAGTTCTGAAGTCTATTAGTTTAATGCCAATCTTCCCTTCCTTTTACTCTAATTCTTGCGTCCTCAAGAGTTCCCAGTCCTGCACTGACCTTTCTTGCTTGCTTTCTTAGGTCAAAGGTCTAAAGGTTTTGGGAAGAAAGGAGTGGAGAGCTCAATTAACCTGAATCACCCAGGGGAGGAGCTAAAACGGGACCCAGGAGACCTGCCTCCAAGGCTAGAGACTGATACTTTGACATACTAAATGTCTTGCATAAAATCTGGCTCTGCTGGAGAGAAGGGCCCTCCCACTTGGGGTCAAGGGATTTGGACTGTCTAGCATGGACTTTAACCAGACTCATCCAAACTCCAGCTTTCCCTGGTTCTTTACTCTGGCGCTTAGCCATATTAGTGCTATGTGGAGCCTGACCCAAGGAGAAAGACTTGTTTCCAGTAATTCCCTGGGGGAGAAGGAGAGGGTCCCTGGTGACTCAGGAAAAGGTGCTAGGAACAGGGCTTCTCAGGTTTCTTTGGACTTGATCATTATTAAAGAGGAAACAACAATAATAGAGACGGGGAGCAGAGACAGATAATTAAGATATAAGCTGGCAGACTGGCCAGTCAAAGGAAAACAGACACAGAATACAAGTAAATTTGTTTTTCATTGCTATTTCTGGGGAAGAGGCAGTAAAATATTTTATCTTCCAGATGCTCTATCTCTGGACATCCCACCGTGCAACTTCCCCTTATCCTCTTGCCCCAAACGAAAGCAGTTTGACATGAGAAAAAGAGTTGTTCCTAGTAAAGGTTCTGTGGCTGAAACTTAACTAAGGAGATCCTATTGACTTTTTTTTTTTTTCTTTTTGGTCCTCTTCCTCTCCTAAAGCAAGTTATTTATTGTCCAGCCAATCAACAAATGTTTAAGACTGGCCACAGTGGCTCATGCCTGTAATCCCAGCACTTTGGGAGGCTGAAGCAGGCGAATCACGAGGTCAGAAGTTCGAGACCAGCCTGACCAACAAGGTGAAACCCCATCTCTACTAAAAATTAGCCAGACGTGGTGGCACACACATGTAATCCCAGCTACTTAGGAGGCTGAGGCTGGAGAATTGCTTGAACCTGGGATGCAGAGGCTGCAGTGAGATGATCACACCACTGCACTCCAGCCTGAGTGACAGAGTGAGACTGTCTCAAAAAAAAAAAAAATTAGCAGGCACCTGTATCCCAGCCATTTGAGAGGCTGAGGCAGGAGAATCACTTGAACCTGGGAGATGGAGGTTGCAGTCGAGCCGAGATCACACCACTGCACTCCAGCCTGAGTGACAGAGTGAGACTGTCTCAAAAAAAAAAAAAAATTAGCAGGCACCTGTATCCCAGCCATTTGAGAGGCTGAGGCAGGAGAATCACTTGAACCTGGGAGATGGAGGTTGCAGTCGAGCCGAGATCACACCACTGCACTCCAGCCTGGATGCCAAGAGTGAAACTCTGTCTCAAAAAAAAAAAAAAAAAAAAAATCTGCTATCAGCGATGTTTAGCATTGAATGGTTTCAAGTCATAGTTAGCTTCTAACTATGAAACAAAACTTAAAACCTGGGTTTTGTCCCAGATTAAAAGGAAATTGTTGGCCAGGTGTGGTGGATCACACTTGTAATCCCAGCACTGTGGGAGGCGGAGGTGGGCCGATCATTTGAGGTCAGGAGTTCCAGACCAGTCTGGCCAACATGTCAAAACCCAGTCTCTACTAAATATACAAAAAAAATTAGCGGGGCATGGTGGCATGTGCCTATAGTCCCAGATACTTAGGAGGCTGATGCAAGAGAATCACTCGGACCCAGGTGGCAGAGGTCACAGTTAGCTGAGATCTTGCCATTGCACTCTAGCCTGGGCAACAGAGCAAGACTCCATCTCAATAAAAAAAGAAAAATTGTTGGTCAGGCACAGTGACTCACACCTGTAATTCCAACACTTTGGGAGGCCAAGGCAGGAGGCTTGTTTGAGTCCCGAGTTGGAGACCAGCTTGGGCAGCATAGGGAGAGCTCGTCTTTGCAATAAAAAAATTAGCCAGATGTGGTGGTGTGTGCTTGTAGTCCCAGCGACTCGGGGGGCTGAGGTGGGAGGACTGCTGGAGCCATGATCACACCACTGCACTCCAGCCTGGGTGACAGAGCGAGGCCCTGTCTCTCAAAAAGGAAAAAAAAAAAAAAAAAGAAAAACTCTTGAACAGGTGAGGATGAAAGAGGAAATGCAAGAGCTATTGTCAGAGTTCTTGAAGACATACCATATAGGCAGGTGTCTACTCCAGGAATTGAAGGGATGTAATTTTGCAAGTAACCAGAGTTTGTGTCTGTCTTCCTTCTCCCTGTCTTTCCCTCTCCTTCATTTTCTTTCCTCTCCTCTCCTTCACTCCCTTCCTGTCTCCCTTCTGCCCTCCTTTTCTTCCCCTTTCTCTTTTCTTTTTTTCTTCTTTCTTTCTCTCTCTCTTTCCCTCCCTCCTTCCCTCCCTCTTTCTTTCCCTCCCTCCCTCCTGTCCCTCTCCCTCTCTCTTTCTTTCTTTTTCTCTCTTCCTTTCTCTTTCCTTTGCTTTTCTTTCTTTCCTTTCTGTCCAGTGAACTATGGTGAACAGTGTCCCATAGGTAAGATATAGAAGGGAGAGCAGGCCCTGCCAGGGGTGAGGCTCAATATAAGGCAGATAAGAATTGTTGGGAAGGAAGAGAAACAAAGTTTCTGCATTCACTGTTCTATCTGATGGAGCCAAAGTCAGGAAGTCCTTTAGAGGGTACAGCTGAGCCAGAAAAGGGGCTCTCTCTTCAGATATGAGGTCATGCCTCTGGAGCAATCCCAGGGCAGTTGGAGATTACAGCACAAGGAGGGTGGAGGAGTGATTCAGGAATGAGGGGAGACTGGGTTTCCTGCCTGAGCAGCATGAGCAGGTGTGGCTGAGTGTGCGTGGATGTGATGTGCGTGTGTGTTGGGAGAGAGAGAGAAACGATAAAAAGGAGCTCTAAGGTGTCCCAGGTAGAGAGAGGGGATGCCAACTCAGAGTGAGATGAAAAAGGACTTTTTTTTAAAGCCAGCTTTTCAGCTTTTTTTTTTTTTTTGAGATGGAGTTTCGCTCCTGTAGCCCAGGCTGGAGTGCAATGGCATGATCTCGGCTCACTGCAACCCCCGCCTCCCGAGTTCAAGCAATTCTCCTGCCTCAGCTTCCCGAGTAGCTGGGATTACGGACATGTGCCACCACACCTAGCTAATTTGTATTTTTAGTAGAGATGGGGTTTCTCCATATTGATCAGGCTGGTCTCAAACTCCCAACCTTAGGTGATCAGCCCACCTCAGCCTCCCAAAGTGCTGGGATTACAGGTCTGAAACAAGCTGAAGCCACTGCACCCGGCCCTCAGCTTGTTTTTTATAGCCACATTCATTCAACAAATATGTACTGAATGCCTACTGTGTGTCAAGTACTGTTCATGGTTCTGGAAACACAGTGATGACAGAAAAATAAAGCAAGGTAGCTGGGCGCGGAGGCCCACATCTGTAATCCCAGCACTTTGGGAGGCAGAGGCGAACAGATCATGAGGTCAAGAGATTGAGACCATCCTGACCAACATGGTGAAACCCCATCTCTACTAAAAATACAAAAAATTAGCCAGGCGTGGTGGTGCGTGCCTGTAGTACCAGCTACTAGGGAGGCTGAGGCAGGACAATTGCTTGAAACCGGAAAACGGAAGTTGCAGTGAGGCGGGGGATCTCACCACTGCCCTCCAGACTGGTGATAGAGCAAGACTCTTGTCTCAAAAAAAAAAAAAAAAAAAAAAGGCAAGGTGAATATGTAGTTTTCTCATTAATAAATATCAAGTACCTACTGAAAAAAGAGGACAAAATGAGGGAAGAAAGCAAGGTAGAAGGGGGATAGAGGACAGGCAGGCAAGCTGAGAGGCAGGCAGTGGTTGCTTTTGATATGGGTGATTAGGGAAAGCCTCACTGCTGAGGTGACATTTAAGCAGATACCAGAACAAGGTGAGGGACATAGCTGGAATGAGAGCAGCCTGGGCAGAAACGGTGGTGGCTCACGCCTGTAATCCCAGCACTTTGGGGGGCCGAGATGGGTGGAAAACTTGAGTCCAGGAGTTCAAGACCAGCCTGGCCAACATGGTGAAACTCTGTCTCTGCTACAAAATACAAAAATTAGCTGGGTGTGGTGGAGTGCGCCTGTAATCCCAGCTACTCAGGAGGCTGAGGCAGGAAAATTGCTTGAATCGGGGAGGCGGAGGTTGTAATGAGCCGAGATCGCGCCGTCGTACTTCAGCCTGGGTGACAGAGTGA